TACAGGATGACAGTAAACTTGATGCCAATTCCAGGAAGCATGGGGTACACTCTGGATGAGATGCCAGTCCTTCACAGGAACACACACCCAGAATCATATAATAAGGACAGTCAAGAGTTGCATGCTTAGACTCTGAAAAAAAAGCAGAGTAATTTGAACAAATATGGTTACCCACCAATGTGTAATTCACTATTATAACTTATATGCTTGTGTTTTTTTTCTCCTAGCCGTGTGGAGGTGCGTTTGGGTGAACACAACATCCAGGTGAAGGAGGACAGTGAGCAGTTTATCTCATCCTCACTCGTGATCCGCTACCCTGGCTATGATTCCTGGACTATTGACAATGACATCATGCTGATCAAGTTGAGCAAACCAGCCAACCTCAACAGCTTTGTGCAGCCTGTGTCTCTGCCGACTGCATGTGCTCCTGCTGGCACCATGTGCACAGTCTCCGGCTGGGGCAACACCATGAGCTCAAGTGAGTAGGCCGTTTGGGTCAAAGGTCAACTGTACTGACAGGAAGATCTCAATGTTGTTAGTCAACTGGTGAAAATAGTTATGGTTACATAATATGGGTAACGGCTGTATTTAATGCTTCCGTACTTTGTAAACCTGTCCCTGACTTTCCTTCTCTTCCCACAGCCGCTGATAGCAACAAGCTGCAGTGTCTAGAGATCCCCATCTTGCCAGAGAGTGACTGTGAGAAGGCCTACCCTGGCATGATCACTCAGTCCATGTTCTGTGCTGGATACTTGGCGGGAGGCAAAGACTCCTGCCAGGTACTGAACACAGCTCCTCTCTGGCTCCCCTGTGGCTGGTTCTGGCACACCACAGATAGTCCTGTTTTAGGCTGACCTCTGTTTTTGTTACTGTGGTGTAGGTGTATTTAAACACCGACCCAAACCCCTTACTAGCTCTCTGCATTTATCAGGGTGACTCTGGTGGTCCCGTCGTGTGCAAAGATCAGCTCCAGGGTGTTGTGTCCTGGGGATACGGCTGTGCTGAGAAGGATCATCCTGGTGTTTACACTAAGGTAGGGGTTTGGTTCATTTAACCGCATTCTCCTGGAGCGTATTTTGTGTATATCTCAGTACTTTATTGATTTACTTTTTACATGTTTTACTGACATCGGCTGCTTAAAATGTACTTTCTCTTCAGGTCTGCATGTTCACTGAATGGATCGCCACCACCATGGCCAGTAACTAAATCTCATGCTAATATATCAACACCCTTCACAACTCAAGTTTTTTGAGTTGACAATAAATCATTCAAAAATACACATTTTGTCTGCTGGCTTATTATGCATAACATCATTTCAAAATGAGAATATCCATACCTTAAACCTTAATAAATAATACAGGACAACAAAAAAAAAACATTTTTTCCAAAACATATTTTTCCAAATTAGTTTTTCAGACTGATTCCATATCTATTTTCAGTTTTTTTCTGTCACGTCAACTTATGTTTGGGAACTTCTCAGCCAGGTATTGAAAACCTTGTGAATTAACTTTACCTATGGCCTTGACAAGGTTCTTTATCAAGCCCAACTTGATATGGAGAGCAGGTAAAAATACTATATGTGGATCAACCAGAGGCAGAAACTGAACACTATTTGTTCCTGGCTCGTAAGTATCTCTTGGTTGCCAGACACGTTTGATATAATGTTCTGCAGTAGATTGGCTATCCCACAGGCACAGGAAATAGAAGTATTTGATAAATCCTCCTCGCATTCCCATCAACATACCAATGACCATTAGATCACCACAGATGCTCCATTTGTGTGCTTTATACCAGATTGCTTCAAGCAGTATCTTCTTGTCTCCTTTAAATGAACAGAATGAGCAATCGGTACACTTGGTTTGGAATTGCCATTATGCAGTAGGACTACCTTCAAACTTCTTTTCGATGAATCAATGTAGAGATGCCATTCAGTTGCAACATATTCTTGTGACAAACTGTTGAAGAGTCCATTGATGTCATGACAATAGCACAGTGAGCTGTCAGCAGTGAAGAACATTATCAAGTTATGATTTAGTTTTCTATAGTGAGTTACAGTAACACCCTTTGCAAGCAAGTGCTTCTGCTTAAGAAAAGTTCTGTTCTCTCTTTTGATAGATTCAGATCATGAGCATGATCATTAAGCTCTGCTTGTGTAAAAGCCTCTGGTTCTGAATCTTCATCAGCCATGTAATCAGTATCGGATGATTCTGCACTGTAACCAGCTACACCTCCGTATTCCTCATCACCTTCTACAGAATCAGGACCATCATGTGGCGGTACAGGAATAGGCAATGAATTGTCATGAGGAACAGGCCTGATTGCAGAATCTAGGGTGGGATATACAATTTTGTGCTTAGTTTTAGTTGAGAATCTACTTGTATTCGTGTGACAAAAGCAGCTGTCATTGACATGGTCTCGCGGTTCCCTCCACACCATCGGAATTCCAAATGGCATTGCTGCCTTTCGCCGATTTAGCCAGTCATGCAGACCATTTGAACAACTGGTACAGATGACATGTGGAGCCCAAGATTTATCCTGGTCTCCAAGTGGACAGCCAAAGTATAATTTGTATATCTTCTTAAGATCTGCAGTGATTGGGTAATGTTGTGCTTTCATTGTGAATGAACCGCACACATAACAGAAACTGTCTGGATGATTAATACAATTTCTAGGCATGATAACAACTGAAAGCCAACACAGTTGATGCTGCCTGTCACCTCCGCTTTCGATTTCCAGGTCGATGACCCAGAATTCAAACTCGAGAGTTAGATTCAGTATTTCTTTTGCAACAATTCGAGAAATAATAAAAAATTTGTCGAGAAGCTTACGTCAGCAAAACAAAACCTGAGGCACAACTACCTATGTTTCCCGCCAAACTGAGTTGTATTCACAAGACATGCGCATGAGCACTAGGTCAAATTAATTATACTCAAATCACAACTAGACAAGTGTCAATAAAACATACATCAATATCTAGTCACCTAGAGAATGGTGATGCTGTCTATAAGATAAAAAACAACTCTTGTAATACACGTAGGCAGACTACATGTACATAATACTACATATAGCTTCATCATAAAAACTTGACGTGCTAGAGAAAAACTAAACACAGATTTGAAACCAGCATGAAAAATACTACAAAACCCACATAAAATGACCTCTGATGAAAATGACCTGTTAACCTGTGTAATACTTAGATATATGGACAAACGTATTGGGACACACCTCTTAATCATAGAATTCAGGTGTTCCATCCAGACCCATTGCCACAGGTGTATAAATTCAAGCACCTTGCCATGCAGTCAAGTTTACAAACATTTGTGAAAGAATGGGTCACTCTGAAGAGCTCAGTGATTAAGCCTGGTGCTGTCATAGGATGCCACCTTTGCCATTAGTCAGTTTGTGAAATTTCTTCCCTGCTAGATATTGCACCATCAACCGTAAATGCAATTATTGCAAAGTGGAAGTGTTTAGGAACAACAGAAACTCTCAAAGTGGTAGACCACGTAAAGTAACAGAGCAGGGTGACCGGGTGCTTAGGCGCATACTGCATGAAAGTCGTGAACACTTGGATTCAATAAGTGCAGAGTTCCAAACTTCCTCTGGCATTAACCCCAGCATAAAAATTGTGCGCCCAAAGCTTCATGGAATGGGCTTCCATGGCTGAGAAGCTGCATGCAAGCTTCACATCACCAAGCATAATGCCAAGTGTCAGATGGAGTGGTGTAAAGCACACCGCCACTGGGTTCTGGAGCAGTGGAAATGTGTTCTGTGGAGTGATGAATCACACTTCTCTGTTTGGCAGCCTTCTGGTGAGACTGGGTTTGGCAGATGCCAGGAGAACTTTACCTACCTGACTGCATTGTGCCAACTGTAAAGTTTGGTTAAGGAGGGATAATGGTATGGGGTTGTTATTCAGGGGTTGGGCTAGGTCCTTTAGTTCTGGTTAAGAGAACTCTTAATGCTTCAGCATACCAAGACATTTTGGCCAATTCTATGCTTCCAACTTTGTGGGAACAGTTTCGGGAAGGCTCTTTTCTGTTCCAGCATGACTGTGTCCCACTGCACAAAACAAGGGTGATTTCAGTGTGAAGAACTTGACTGGCCTACACAGAGCCCTGACCACAACCCCTTAGAGATCCTCTTCTGGATGAATGGGCAAAAATTCCCACAGACACACTCCAAAATCTTGTGGGAAGCCTTTCCAGAAGAGTGCCAGCTGTTATAGCTGCAAGGGGGGGACCAGCCTATGGATTTAAAATGGGATTCATAGAAGTTCCTGTGGGTGTAATGGCCAAGTGTTCCAATATGTTTTTCCATATAGTGTGTGTTGTATTGTGTGTATTTACTTGTAAATTGTGCTTTGAGCATTCAAAGAACTTAACTTTATCTGGCTGTTCCCTCTGACCCACACCCCATGTTTGTCACCTGACCTTGACGAGGAGTCACAACAATGAATAGTCTGGACAGTGGTTTGTGCAAGAGAAAACGGTCCTTTTTTTGTAGTTTTTCCCAGTGATTTAGTTTCTGTAATAAACCCCTCTGTGTCTCAGAGCCACCAGTGGATCATCACCTCTTTATCTGCCTGCACCATGCCTCGCCTTCGTAACAGTATAAGGTAATTGATATTTATGGTTAAGGTCCCTTAAATGTTTTCTCTTTTAATATGTTGTATGATCTCTAAGTATTTTACTCCTTTTTTTAAAAGGAGTTGTGAGGAGTGTCCTGGGGGGGGACAAGGAATACATATAAAAATGGGAGTGAATGTTTATATTGTTCATGGTCTTTTCTGTGTGTTGACTGTTCACTTCTGAATAAAAATATTGATTATAAATAGATTAATGAATTTGTTACATTTGTGCTTTTTCTGCATTGTATGTTCTGTATACTTTCCTTCACATAAGCATCAGCATTAAGCAGAATACCTCTGTCAGAGCTGTTTATTCACTTGGTAAAACAGTCTAAAAAGCAGATTCAAGGAGCAAAAGATGTTTTATTCAGTTGGTTACTGACACTTTGATCAGTGAAAAGTATTTCCAAAACAAAATTTTCAATAACTGGAGTAAGTGGAGAGTATTTCATGGATCCAGGGCAGCAAGGCGCAGACCTTGGTATAGACGCCAGGGTGATCAGGCTGAGCACAGCCATATCCCCACGACACGATGCCCTGCAGCACACCACCGCACACAAGAGGGCCACCAGAGTCACCCTGCAGGGGGATTAACAACAGAGAATGAGAATTGTGTGTGGTACAGATTAACCTCCTATGAAATAGCCTCCTCACCAACCACACTGACAGTTTACGGCAAACTAGATAGTGAGAAGGCAGCTGTCTTGTACCTGGCAGGCATCCTTTCCGCCTTCCAAGTAACCAGCACACAGCATGTTGCTGGTGATCTGGCCTGGGTATGAGTCCTCACACTCTTGCTGGGACACGATGGGTACATCCACACACTGAAGGTTGAAGGGGTTAAATACTACAGGGGGAGGACAGGGTGTACAGAGGATGGAGGGTGAGTCTTATACCTGGCCAAAATAAAAATAAATACACAAATAGAAAGTCTGTGATAGGCTGGTGCACCATCCTGGGATATTCACTGCCTTGTGTGGGTAGTTTCCAGGATAGACACTTGTGACCCTGAATAGGACAAGAATATCTCTAGAATAGGACAAGCGGGTATAGAAATGGATAGATAAAAACATCAAATAATGCCCCCTGAATGAATAGAAGGATGGATGGATAGAAAGTCAAATACTGTAATGGCCCCTGGATAGATAAAGTCAAATAATGCCCCTTCTGGCTGTAGACTATATTTAATTGCTCTGTTCACAGACTGTAAAAAATGTAGAAGGTATAATGCAGTCATTGACAAGAAAACGTTTTAAGTCCAGCCCTGAAGTACGAAGTACTTGACCAAATGTCCACGCAAACGTGAAAGTACCAAAAGTATGGTACCTGGTGCAGTGGGAAAGCGCCCTTAGAGTTCTGCTTTCGATCTTTTACATATGAGTTTCACAAACTGCGAGACACTACATTAGCTGAAAAAATATGGAGCGAGATTAGTCTCTATATTATTGATAAATGCATGTAGCACAATCCGTGTGTAACAGGCACTTCAGAAATGTGTTTTATTATCCACACACAAATATCTCTCAACTCGTGTCTTGTCAATTTTAATTTGAAAAATGCATAATGATTTGTGCAGATACCACACAAAATGCACTGCGGCAGCAAATTAATTATCTGGTTGCAGCTGGTATTCTGTTTACCTTCATTCACTTAAGCTGAACAGAGTTTGAGAACATGGTTGAACGTGGTGTACGGAAGTTGTAGTTGAACTGAAATGATCTCATTTCAATTCCGTAGCGCCGGAGCAGCTGGGATACTGTAAGTAGCCATATGTGTGTCATCATAAATACTTGTATTGTATTTCCTATTGTGACATGTGTCTTTGCTCATGTTATACCTGAACCCTGTCCGATTCTCATGTGTCTTTAGCCATTTTATAAATTACCCACCGTGTATGTGCCTCACAGTCTAGCGTCAGACCTGCCTGTGTTTTGTGGGATATGTTTGGTTTGGTAGTTGTATGTGTGTATTAATCGTTTTGACTGCTGAATAGAAGACGCCCCAATAGTTAGATAAATGCTCAGCGTTACTTATGTTGGTGGTTGATGTTGTGGAGTCTATTTAGACGGACTGCTAAATTTGAAAATAGGTATGTGTAACAGGCAATAAACTCAGTATTACACATCCATTCCACACACTTCCAATTCAGGATAGCAGTGGGACTGGAGTATATGCCAGGAATTCAGGCACTACTAGGCATTCTAGTTCTATTAATATTGTAATGCAAATGATTAGGAACATTTCAGCAGCAGTTAGACAACATAGAGTAGACAACACAAGCCAAGTGAAGCCTCACCCTGGTCAGAGTAGATGTTCCCCCAGCCGGACACCACGCACATTTGCCCTGTGACCGGGCAGCTCTGGGGCAGAGCCACTGGCCTCACAAACTCATTGATGGTGACAGGATGGGCCAGCTTCATCAGCATGATGTCATAATCCAGTGTCTTGTAGTCATATTTCTCGTGCCAGTAAATGGCATTGACCGGCATGTACTGTTCTGTCCCCTCATACTCCCAGATGTGGTGTTCACCTAGGATGGCGATCTGGGTAAAAGGACTAATACAGGGGAATTAATTGGCAGGTTGCTTGGAAAAAATGAGTAGAAATGGATTAATTTTAATGGTGTAGTACTCACTTCATCCAGCAGTGGGCTGCAGAGACGATCCATTGGTCATTTATGAGGGAGCCGCCACAGAAGTGATATCCGATGTTAATGGACACCTGCCAGGGCTGTGAATGGACTGGGCACTCATAACCCCCAACTATCTTTTCGCTCAGGGGGCTCGCAGCTTAAAGCAGGAAACATAGAACATGTACTACATTGCAAGAACAGAACCCCAGTTTATCCTCCCTGTTCGTTTTGATGTATGCCACTATTGTATACGTGCAATTTTTATAACTTCGCCTTGTGTGCTGTACCTTTTTGACTATGTGTAGGTGTAGTATATGAGCAATATATCTGGGCTTGAATGTGAGGTTCCAGTGGCTTAGTTTCTGAGTGGGTGTTACCTGCTATACTCAACAGCACAAGTACAATCAGTAAAGTCATGTTTCCACCTGAAGTCTTCGCGGTCGGCTGCAGTCCTCTGCTGTATTTATAGCTGTGTTTATCTGTTGTCATCTGGTTGTCTCCCTCCAAGTCTCTGAAGTTTGTTACTGTTTAATGGTAAATTCACTTGGTGTGACACCTCGCATGCAATGCGAACTCACATGCTGTGTCTTTGGCACCTCTTGCTGGTCCTTGATGTTTTTTTGGAGGTAGTGTTATTATTGTTGTTAAGACTATACATATAGTAATACTTTCCTATTTTCTCATCTGATTTTTGGCAGTTAGTCACTCAGAAATATATTTACTTATATATTCAAGTTCAGGTTGTTCTGCATTTTTTCATGATAATTAACAGGAGACTCACAGAGGTTTCACAGATGATACTGGTCCTAGTAAACTAAACCACCAGGTTTTTTTTTTTTTTGGGGGTCTGTTATTTTTAAAACCTGCAAGCATCAAAAAATGATCTGATCATTTTGCCAGCAATACAGGTGACAGTTATACCAAGATTTACTCCCCCCGCACCCCACCATGCTAGTTGCACTGCTTCAAGGACATTCTCAATGTCAGTGGACATTTGTGTACATTGATAGAAAAATAATTAACCAGGGTTTCCTTGAAAAGTTCCACCTGGCCAGCAAAAAATATATTTTGGACAAAATTGCCACTTGACCATGTCATTGCATTTGGACAAAATATTAGCTCACCCTACAGCTGCAGCTCAGCCCTCAGTGAAGAAACAATGTTTACCTTACGCTTATGCACTACCATATACTCCATCCTACCACTGAGTTAGAAGATGCTTTTATCCAAATTGAATGTGTTACAAATTTATCATACCGAACTGTTATCTGATGGAATAATTAACTTTTGTCCTGTTTTCATTGCTTTCCTGGATTGTCCTGGCACTGTGAAAACTGTCCTGCGTGGTGATGATTCCAAAGACTGTGCACCTCAAAGGACCTGGTGACTGCAAACCGGGGAATCCGATGAAGACCCATAAGTGGGTTTCCCCGCTCACCTTCCTGGTGAGTCACTCAATGGTCCCCCTACAGGTTGCCTAGCAGCTGCACATCGGTTTCTACTACAGAGAGCACTTGCACATCTGGATACAGCCAGGAGTACAGTGAGGGTCATGTTTTTTGACTTCTCCTTTGCTTTCAATACCATTCAGCCAGAACTACTGAAAACAAAGAAAGAGATGGGAGGGCTTGTTTGGACACTAGATTACCTTACCAATAGACCACAATATGTGAAGTTGCAGGACTTTGTGTCTCAAACAGCAGTGTGTAGTGCTGGGTTCCAGCACTGTTCCTCTTCACCTTCCACACAGCAGACTAGCAGATATGACTTGTTTGACATACAAATGTTTTCTGATGATTCGGCCATTGTGGAATGTCTTGAGAACAATAAAGAGAGGGTGTAATGAGGGGTGATAAAGGACTGGTTCTAGGATAACCACCTCCAGCTCAATCCTAACAAAGCCAAGGAGCTGGTGGTGGATTTTCACAGGGCTTGTCAGAATCCAGTCAACCTGGTGACTATCCAGGGAGTGGATATTGAGGCTGTCAGGTCTTATAAGTATGTAGGTGTTTACCTGAACAACAAACTGGACTGGATTGACAACACCAACGCGTTTTACAGGAAGGACTAAAGCTGGCTCTACCTACTGAGGAGATTGTGTTCTTTTGAAGTCCAAGAGGCATTCCTCAAGACCTTTTATGACTCAGTAGTTGCATCTGCAGTCCAATATGGAATTACATGCTGGAGCAAAGGTGTATCTGTGGAGGACAGGACGAGGCTGGACAAGCTGATTAGGAAGGCAGGCCTTTTACTGGGGTGTCCTCTGGACCAAACTGAGAAGGTGGGGGAGAGATCCTTGCTAAACTCTCAGCCATTTTGGACAATCCAGACCACCCCTTACAGGAAACCCTGGGGGGACTGAGTAGCACCTTCAGTGGCAGACTGTTACAGCCATGATGCCTGAAGGGACATTACTGAGGTCCTTTATTCCAACTGCCATCAGACTCTACAACAGCCACTGCTTTCAGTAGGATTGGGACTCACTGTGTCACTATATTACATTACACTACAAAGTATGTGCAATACCTGCGAACAATTGCACATAGATACATGTATGTGCAATTTCAGAATCCAGTGTACACTCAAATGAAAGGTCTTGTACAGTTTTGCAGTTTTGCACTATACCAGAGGTTGGCAATCTTTTTAAAGCTAAGAGCCATTTTATCCTAAATGTCTGACCCAAGATTTACAAAGAGATTTACAAATTGGATAGAGAAGAGGGTTTGAGATACGATTTTTAATGCAATATCGGTATATATGAATTTAACACAAAACAAAACTTCAAGTACTTACAAAAGATATAGAAAAACACATTTTTTTGGGGGGGGGGGGGCTCTCAGTTTTAAATCACTCAGACACGTAACAGTACAAAGGTGACTAATACCACAATATCGTTCAGTTCTGTAACAATAGTCTTCACCTTTACCCCTTCTTTCTTGAGTAAAGTTTGTTTGGCTCTGCAGTCATCTGGCCTTCACTCTCCACTTCACTACTTGTAACTATACTGACCCAGCAGTGCAAAAAGTACTCATCACTCCGAACATAATATGTAAATCGGAAAAATGTAATAATTTTATGAAGACCTGGGAAGCCGTGGTGATGATTTACTACAAAAGGTATATGAAAAAATTAGGAATCTCAATAAACTTTGAAGCCTACATTGAATCTCGGACACTGAAGAAAACTCCGGAAAGCATACCATTTGACCGAAGACATAATCTCATCATAGAGAATGACTTTGAGGAAGATGTAAATTATGCAGTTAAGACATCACAGGAGCGTGCAACGGGCTGTCTCATTCACATATAGCTAAAGAAATACCTAAATGAAAAATAATAATATTAACCCATAAATAAATTATTTATATTCATGAAAGTATTATCATAATATGTTAGGACATGAAAATGTGAATGTGTGTATCATTCTGAGAAAAGCCGCAGCCTCGTGCTCAAAGAGCTGCACATGGCTCCCGATCCGCGGGTTGCCGACCCCTGCACTAGACAAATAGTTTTTGTATTCATGTTTACGGGTTCCCTACAAATTCATGTCAATACGACCTATTGCTTTTAGTTATTTTTTGTTCTAATTTTAATTTATTATTGGCCATGTTAAGAACTGTAACTGTTGTAAGTTACTGTGTCTTATTTCATTTCTGTACTGGCTGCTGCAATACCCAGATTTCCTCTTGTGGGGTAAATAAAGTCAATCTTTTTCTGTTCTTATTGTCATGCAGTGTGTCATAGACATGCCAAAAAAGAAATGATACAGCTTCCCTCTTGTAGTATTTCTGTGTGTGTGTGTGTGTGTGTGGGGGGGGGGGGGGTTCAGGTACATTACTCATACTGTACATTCATACATTACACATACTCATACATTACTTGGTGGGGATCAGATGTCCTCGCAATGTGATAAAAACCTGTTGTTTTGATGTTGTGGGAGCCATTTTTTCCAGTCTCCACAAGGGGACATTCACTTTTATAAAAATCGGTGACTGCAATCAAAAAACTAAAAATGCCCAAAGTCTTGTATTTTGTTTGGTTACTTGTGGTTAAGGTTAGGGCTGGAATGGGTTATGGTTGTCATTGTTGGGATTAGGGTTTTGCCCAAAGATATGAGTACAGGTTAGAGTGTGTGTGTGTGTGTGTGTGGGAAAACCTCCATCTTCGCCCCTAGCTATCTTTCTGTGGGTGTATGTCCTTGTGTAACACACGGCACCAGCCCCACACTTTGGAGGCTCTTCGGCTGCACCAGGCATTAACCATTAACCGGAGAGCATGAGCGTGAGCGAGGGAGGTCCATACAGCATATGCTGTATATATATTGCTATGATGTGTGCTGCAGTAGGCTTTCACCGGACACCATGAGGCTGCTGGTGTTGTTTGTGTGTGTGGGAGCTGCTGGTAACAGAAAAGCTTATAGACCAGAATAATGACTTGTCATTCAAACTGCTGCAGGGTGTTTAGCTGAAGGGGATCATGCTGATTCGTTAGACTGTGCTGTGTCCACTGTGAATCACTTAAATGCTTATTACAGTAATAAGGCAGCATGCACTAGCCATAGTGATAAATATATGCTTAAATGATAATGCTTTTGTGATACAGGTTGATCACCATAGAGACTGGCAGCGCCGCGTTCCCACTCATTCAGTGTCTCATGTTTCAGGGGCAGTGCCTCGAGAGGATGGCAGGATCATTGGGGGGTACGAGTGCATTCCAAATTCCAGGCCCTGGATGGCCTCACTGAACTATGGCTACCACTTCTGTGGGGCGGTGCTCATAAATGATCAGTGGCTGCTCTCTGTTGCTCACTGCTGGTACAAGTTAGTATCATTTGAAATTGGAATTTGTTCTGTTTAGATGTCCATATCTGTTCTTTTGCTTTTGGTCATTGCCGCTGTTAGGTATTACATGCATCTTCATTCATAAAGTTTTCTGATTTCTTTGTAGATAGTATAAAGTAATTGTATGTGAGGCATTGAAATGACAGTATACTGAAAGTGTAATAAAACTCTAGCTTTTAAAAAGCTAATGAAAAGTCTGTACCCCACACTCTGACTCATTTCAGCCCTTATGCCATGCAAATCATGCTCGGAGAGCATGACCTGCGAGTGTTCGAGGGCACCGAGCAGCTCATGAAGACCGACACCATCATCTGGCACCCAAGGCAAGCACATTCGATGCCAGCCCTCGCTCTTGCACTGTACGGTCATCCAATCCACTGCCAATCACCAATGTTAACTGTAAATTCTCTGATCCCCTTGTCAACCAATCGTCCACTCTAGCTACGACTACCAGACTCTGGACTATGATATCATGATGATCAAGCTGTTTCATCCAGTAACCATCACTGATTCTGTGATGCCCATCTCACTACCAGTGGGCTGCCTGTATGCAGGTGCAATGTGCTCTGTGTCGGGGTGGGGCGACAACAATTCAGAGGCCGGTGAGCAAACGGAGCACTCAACCCCCAGTGTCTCACTCTTTCCCTTAGTTATTTTCTTGTGATGTGGTCCCATTTACATTTATTTGCAGAGATTCACTCTTTGACTTACTGCTTTTGTTGTGAAGTGTACAGAGATTCATTCTTTCCCTCCGTGCTTTTGTTGTGAAGTGATGCCACTTACATTTATGTATGGAGATTCACTCTTTCCCTTAATGCTTTTATTGTGAAGTAGTTCCATTTACATTTATGTACCAAGATTCACTCTTTCCCTTTGTGCTTTTTTGTGAAGTGGCGCCATTTACATTTACGTACAGAGATTCATTATTTCCCTTAGAGCTTTTGTTGTGAAGTGGTGCCATTTACATGTATGTACCAAGATTCACTCGTTCCCTTAGTGCTTTTATTGTGAAGTAGTTCCATTTACATGTATATACCAAAATTCACTCATTCCCTTAGTGGTTCCATTTACATTTGTGCTTTGTTGTGACAGCAGTCATATTGTGTTTCAGAGGCAGGCTGTTTCTTTAACCAACAAAAAAAGTTTTTCAAGTCCCCTCCCCCACCAAAAAATAAATAAATAAAATACTGAAGTTCCAGAAAAGTACCCAGCTGGTTTGATACTTTAGGTGCTGGACATTTGCTACTGGTACTCAAAAGTGTGCTAGCTTAACCATTTCAAAACCTCTTCTAAAGTCAATCCAGTATTTGAAGTAATCATTCAATAAACCTATGAATTTGTTGACTGAACTACTAATGTATCATGTTTGTTTAATCAGTACCTCATAAATGTGTTTAACTAAGTAAATTAATTATGCAAGAGGACTAATGGTGAAATTTAATGAACACGTGGAATGGCTGAGGTGTCCCAGAGGAGAGGGCCAGGAATTGAAATGTTCATCTAGCTATCCAACTAGATATCAGTCACTTGTCAAAATGTGTTTCAGTCTGAGCAAATACATACTTCCTGCATAGATAAATAGCTTTATACATAATTTCCTTTGCCTATTTAAGAGTCTAAGGTAATTAGTGCCTGGTAATTAGTGCCAGGACTGTCTCCTGGGGCTGTGTTGGCATCCTCTCACATCTGATTTCCTGTGTCTTTCCCAGCCACTAGCCTGCAATGCCTGGATCTGCCAATTGTGGATAATAAGGACTGCCAGAATTCGTACCCCGGCATGATCACCCGCAACATGCTGTGTGCCGGCTTCATGGATGGGGGCCGAGATGCCTGCAGTGTACGTAGGGAACCCACAAACCCCATGCCAGTCAGCAGTGCTGAGCACTATTTCAGGACCCCCTCAAACCCCATGCCAGTCAACAGTGCTGAGGCCTATCTCAGGACCCCCTCAAACCCCATACCAGTCACCAGTGCCGAGCAAACCCCAAGCTCCACAGGTGGTGGACTGCATGGGAAATGTAGTCACTCATTTAATGAGCACACACACAAGGGCAGGACTCAGACTCACAATGCTCTTGTCACTCAGGCTGAAGCTGTCATTGTCCTCTTATGCAGCTTACAAGTTCAGTTAGATAGTCCTGCTCTTATCAGGGCCTCCGTCCACCCATGTCTACTCAGTTGTAAGCTCACTTAGTCTAATTAAACAAACTATATCAGTAATGCAGTGTAGATTTACTGCAGCACTTGTTGACAGTCATTACGCTTGCCTTCTTACCCTCTCTTCTGGTCCTTTTCCTTTCTCCCTCTCTCACATTTCAGGGTGACTCAGGCAGTCCCCTGGTATGCTTTGGGGAAGTACACGGGCTGGTGTCCTGGGGTCAGGGCTGCGCTCAGCCTGGTTATCCTGGAGTTTACACCAAGGTGTGTGAGTTCCTACCCTGGATCAAGAACACCATGGAGGGCAACTGACGCACTCCTGTCAGCTTTCCTCCCATGTCTCTCCCAGTTGGCTGACTTGGCCTCTTATCTTGCTAGCTATTGGGTCCATAGTATCACAATTTTACCCTATGTGTCTGTAGTGCTAATAGCATCACACTTTACCCTTTGTGTCTGTGGAGCACTCTTAAAACACAATAAATTTGTTACCAACCCTATCATTGTAAATGTGGTGTCCTCTAAAAAAGAATTTATCTCATAGTCAGGTCAGGTTGGGAGAACCTCGGGATCTCAGCTGGTGACCCTCAAGGCTGACACACAGTCCAGTTCCACACTCCAGAAATGCCCATCTACCTGCTGCAACCAGGTGTCACTTGGGCATCCCCTTGGGCTCTTGAGTCCTCAATACTGAGGATCCTACAAGTTGGATCACTCTTTCGGGAACATGTGCCACATGTCCGTAGTGCCGTAACTGATGCTCCCTCACAGTGCAGCTAATGTGCCTCATTCGGGACTCCCTTGTTCAACACAAAGTCAAGCTAACAGTACCCATGGACTCTCCAAAGAGACACGGTACCGAATGAGTTCTTTCAGGAAGACTTGAACCTGAAGGAAGACTTCATTCTGTGAAGTCTCAGAATGTCACACAGGGCAGCTCAATCAACTTAGTTGAACACGTCATGAAAATTGCCAAAGTCTACAAAGAAACTCTACCGATATTCATGTTTGCGTTTGATGAGAACACTCAGTGCCAGGATGCGGTTGATGGTAGAAAACCAGAATGCTTTGGTCACTGGAAGGCAAGCAAGTGATCATGGATTCTGTTGAGGATGACCCTAGCAAGGGCAGTATCTCCCTGTAGCCACAGTCCAGGCATTTCACCATTCCCATTTCAGATAGTGACAACAATGCTTGCGATGTAAGGAGGATGCCAGAAGTACACCCCGGATACCACAGATCCCTGTGCCCTTCCCTACCACCACCTGGTTCACTGCTCGTGCAGTCTCAGTAAGATTGTGTGGTTCAAAGCTAATCAGAGATTCAGCCTGAAGAAGCATGCACCCAGAGATATCCAACATCCTAGCTGGGGGATCAGCTTTAAAAAGCAGCTCAAAGTTGCTAGCCTAGCAGGTCATAATTGCAGTGTCATCCGTAAGGAGCATTCCATCACCTGCACTGACTGCAATGTCTGAGGAATAGATTCGGATGTGTGTAGTACTTTGATTCCTCTGTAAGTAGGACATGGGTCGCTAAACCATAAATGGTGTCACTTGCTCAGAGTTTCCACTAACAAACGCCTCCTTATCTGCCCTCTGAGCTCTCGCAGCCATCCTTCTCAATTCCCAGTTCAGATTGGAGTTGCCATCAAGCCATGCATAACTCCTCTCGATAATATCCAGGGTGCCCTACGAGATGCACCTGCACCTCCTTCTGGAAACATCAGTAACACCGAAGCAACCCTCAGCAATTTTCATGTCTTATCACAGAAAGTCTCATACATCACACATTAGGATCAGCAGTCACACCCAAGTCTGTAACTTCCTCGCACTCCTTCGCCACACCACCAGTACTGGAATGCTAAGTTGAATGATGCAGCTCAGGGTGCTGGAATCAGGACCCATGTAGCGGGTGACGCCTCAAGACCACATCAGCTCTGATTCCCAACAGGCCTGACCCTACTGGCTCTCTGGCAGTTTCAACACTTCCCGAGGGATTTCCCCTATCCACTTCATGATGCCTGCAGCCTTCCTGTAGGTGCGTGCATCAGTGCTGATCCCATGGAGAGCAGAAAGGTGTCGTGTCTGCTTCTTCGGAGCTGTGCAAAGTCGGTGGCTGAACCGTAAAAGTGACACAAAACGACAAATTCCAGAGATATGTGCCACCCACACGTACAGGCATTAACCACTGATATAATTTGCTTTTATAATAATACTTTATATATAACATTTAGTTAGTTTACAGAGGCATACTGTTTCATGGTATTTCCTAAATTTATCACCAAAACAAATAATACACTAAAAACATTCAACGCCTTTATTTTTTAAGGAGTAACAGACTAATATCCAAAACTCTAGTTTTGTACATTTTATGACAGAACATTTAACTATCGCTTTTGTAAGTAGTTAGAGGTTTATAAGCCATAAGTATAAACTCAGTAGTAAAATAATAATTATAATGGTTAACTTGCTGTGTACTATGTGTATTAGAGCCTATTGTTATGGAGTCCTGGGACAGAGGAAAATGTAGCTCTTTCCAATCCCACTGGTGTCCAGCCAGATCCCTGCACTCTTAAGAGGACATGGTTCGCTCCATTTCTCTGCGATCCTTTGGCCTCTTCTCCCTCTCTTGGCCCACAACCGATGACCCCATCCACAGAGCACCACCTACTGGAGATGGAGGGAAGGACTTTGTGCTCAGTGGTGCAATGGAGCAGGCCAGAAGGTACCAGCTGCACTGTTATCAGTGAGATCATACTCTGAGCCCAGCAGATGTTTCCCGTCTGATACTTACTGGTTCTTCCTGACTGGGAGGATGAAGGCCTGTTTGACGCAGGGGACGATTCCTCACTAAGGAGACACGTGGGTGGGGGGAGTCATTGAAGAAGTTGACATTTAAATGTGGCCACCTGCTCTCCTGCTTCATGAACAGGCATGCTAGCATGGAAGAACTGAGAGCTAACTTGCTAGTCTTGATGATGTGACTCACCCACATGAACTGACTCGCAGTATGGGCGGGGGACCCCAGATGGTGTCCTCCTCACTGCTGCAGCTGTCGTCCGACACACACCTGAGAACGCACAACCATCCAACTCACATTGCTGTCCATGACAACCAGACCCCACCCCTCTCACAAGCTAATGACATCCATACTGGAGCACTGGGCATACATGACCATAACTCATCAAGCTTTCAGAAGAGAATAATACACAAAGGGATTAAAACACTCCTGAGGTGGTCTTAGTTTGGTTAGTTACAGGGGGGTCTGAGTTTGTTCACATATGCACAAAAATGCTGACTAATCACTCTGAGTTCATTTTGAGGGCTGAAAGGGATCAAGCATGAAAACAGCCACTGCCTCTTAAGGTCAATTCATACTTCACTCTTCTAGCTTTCAGCTGTGAACTAGGGAACGTGACGTAACTTTCGTCATGAGGGATTGGCTATGGATGGCTGCACGTGTAGCCCAGGATATTATGTTTAACAGAAACCATATGTGTCCGTAAGCATCGACTAAGCAGGTGCTACATAATTGATTACCAATAGGTGGCAGTGTGGACTTTCACAGATAAACTGTCAATGATGAAAGAGTAGAGGAAGAATAATTATTGTTGTTGTAATAGTTATGATGACCAGCCGAATGAGATGGGTCAGAGGTACCTGCAAATCTAATTTTTCATGCAGTCCAGACATTATACCAATGTATACTGTATATTTTAAAAAGCCGCACCTTACAGCATTTTGTAATCTTGGTGATAAAAATCTCAGAGTGGCTAATTTTGTTGTAAATATTTCAGTATACTTTGGAATGCCATATTACTGTAGTACCATCCGAGTCACAACTAATAATTTTAAAATTATTGATAAAAGTTTACCCATTGTACTACAATGCTTGTATCTGTGTTTGTTGCAATACATCTGCCCTCTGCTGGTCTGGTGGAATATCACTACTGTATGCATATGCCAACCATGACCATCCGCATCCTCAGCTAAATGTAGTATGAACACAAGCTGCCGTGTGGACGATCGTCCCCAGCCTGAAAGCGCGTGAGGAAAAACAAAGCATTGAACTAGGCTTTAGGGTTTGCGCTGATGAAGGCTGGCCTCCTATGTTACCTCACCTGGCGATCTGTGGGTGGGACAGTGTCTCCACGTCAGAGCTGCTGAGATTCTGCAGAGAGATTTCGTTATTTAGACTACTGTCAGGCAGCATGGGGGAGGGAGGGAGTGGTATTTTCCTCCCATTTTCCTTCCTTTTTACTTCATTCTAAATACAGCACTGTGTTAAATATTTCCCCCTAAAGAGAACCACCTTTGGGTGACCATTATAGTGATACCAGGGCTGTCAGCCTTTCCAATAAGTAATAAAAGCTAAAGGTAATGATCCTTAACTCGAATGATCTGCAGAACCTCAGAGTCAAGGTTGCTCATCCTATTATATAAAGCAGAGTCTGTACTCATTATAACGATGCTAAATAAGAATGATGGAAATGCTTCTAGCAAGGTACTAGCTTAACTACAGGAAACAATGCTGGTGGAAGCTTTAATGTAAACCTGCGAAGAGCAGTTAAAACGTGCTTTTCTGGGCTTGGCTCTGATGTATGCTATAGCACGCGGCACGGCATGAAACGGGGCGAGCTCACAGGACGAGAGGGGGGCTGCTCGGGGGGCAGCTTAGCAGGAGGTCTGAAGGTGGGTCTGGGCAGCTTGGGGGAAGGGCAGCTGGTCTTTGGAGGCAGGGGTGGGGGTGTAAGGTCAGGCTGCTGCTGGGCAGAGAGGGACAGCTGTGAAAAGAGATGGAAAGAATGAACAAAGGTGTGGAATGGAGAGGTATCATGGTATCCTGACTTTGGTGTAGAAGAACATGGCTAGCACAGCCTCAATTGGGAACATGTCCTTAGAAAACACCAAGAGCACCCTTTTCATGGAGGCCAGCTGCTGCATCACTAGTGCCACGTCTTCCAGATCATCTTCGCTGTTGTCGGTATCCTCCTCATCAACTTTGTCCGGCAGGAAGGGCTCTACCACGACAGACTCTGTCCCTCTGATGTCACACCGGCAGTATGGGCAGGTGTGGCCGTCGGATCTCTGTGTGAAGGAGAGGTTCTGAGGACCCGATTCAGCTGAGCAGAACCAGTCAATGTCACCGGTAATGTTGATGCAAAAAAAAGAGTACAGCCACGGTTCTTCACACTGTTCATTTTATAAACTAACAGATTAATGAGTGGCAAATCGGATTCTGACCTTGACTCTTCCAGTCTTCACATTTTACCTTTCGTAGACATGTATTTGTAGAAAGATATTTCACTTTATTTCATACAAATAATCCCCCAATCCCACATGTAATTTTGAGCATTTATTATATATATTTTAGCCCCAGAAATGTTACTTGTATATGTAAGATTATTTAACTTAATGACTTACTGACATTAAATAAGGCCAATCAATAAGGCTTATATGAACAAATTGAAATAAATATATATCCATCCATCCATCCATTATCTATACCGCTTAATCCATCTGGGTCACGGGGGAAATAAATATATAATTATTTATGAATATTAATATTCATATAAATCAATTAAAATTTTTACTGTAATGTGTGGAATTTAATTACAAGCTAATATTACAAGCTATTGGCTACATCAATCCATCACTCACAGTCTCCATCTTTGATATGTGACATACAAACTGTAACCAAACCCAATCATGCCTGGATGAAGACCACAAAAATATACTGTAAACTGGGAAAGAATAGTGAGGTTATGGCACCTGCTTTTCAGCCCCTCTGGTGACACCAACATGCTGACTGAAGTTTATTAGAAAGTGCAGGTACCATAATAGCTGCAAAAAACACAGCAGAGGATGCCATAGCCAGCGAGGTGTGGCAGAGTCAGGGGAGGCTGGGAAATGGTGCAGCAGACACAGACTGGTCTGGCCAGATGCTGGGGATGGTGACCATACCTGCCAGCTGCTGAGGCAGGGTTGGCACAGCAGGTGTCCACATGGCTGGATGCGAATGTCTTTGTCTCGCTCGGCACAGATCTTACACAGCTGGAAGGTGCTGCCGATCTCACAATAGAGCTCATACTGCTCCTGTTAGGGTCCCACACACACACACACACACACACACACACACACATGCACACAGACACATACAAGTGTGTGCCCATCAGATGGACTCTTTAGGTTACCGGCAAAACATCGGAAACTGCTCACACACAAATGACTTCCGTTTGAGGTGTACAGGAACAGTGTTTTTTTCCATACACATAACTGTCACTATGTGAAAAAGAAATGCTACGTTACCGGGCTGACTCTGACTTTGCCCTTGTAAGTCGGCTCGCACAGACTGGTTAGGTCAGGGTTGTTGTCTCTACCATCTGGGAACAGATAGCTGAAACCACAAAGCACACCGTGTCACATTCAAACATGCAGACAATACTTAGCTGCCATCCCGCCCACGCCCACACACAAGTGCCCCAACTCAGACCTTTAGAAGCTATTATTCACTCTCCATGCCAAGTCTTCTATATTAAGAAAAGCATCATAGACTGCATCTATATCAATATGTGTACAAATGCACGCACTAGCCTTCTTGGTAACCCTTGACGAGAGCCTGGAACAGAGGAATGTCCTGGGGAATGGTCTGCACAATGGCGCCATCCTTGGTCACATGACCGATGGCCCATTGGCCCATGTGGGTGCAACTCAGGCGGAAGATGTAGCTAATGGAAAATAAAGATAAAGCAGGTTCTGGTTATGCATCTTGTCAACCTGAAGCTTGTTAGATGACACTGCACAGCGGTCTGTTGATCTGTATGTCTGCTGGGTAGTTTAGCCAAGATAACACAAGACATGGTGCTTAGCCTGTGGCTAGATAATGTGCATAATCATTGATGTGTCTGCACATGCATTACGTATATATACAGCTCTAGAAAAAATTAAGAGACCACAGCAACATTTTTAGTTACACTTATTTCTGATGATGAACTATACATTTTTTTTGCATCTTCCCTGTTTCTCATTGATGAAGGGCTTCTTCCTTGCTTTATAGGTCTTCAAGGGCTAGCAGGCCTAACTCTCCTTGCCGCACAATTCACACCACTTAATGTTCCCATTCTTTTTAAAGGTCACTTGAGGTCATTCTCTGATTTATGAGGTACAGTTGGAGGTGCTGACAGTCATCTCTGGCATTACAAAGTTGCTTATGCCCTCTACCTGGCTGGTTTTTGGTCATTGCAAGTGTTTCCTGCTTTGTTCTTGTGTACTGCTGTCTTAGAAACTTTGAACCTGGAAGCAACCTGCCTCTCAGTGTAGCCTTCTGCCAGCAGAACCAGGGCTAAACCAGGATTGCATGTTTTTTTTTTTTTTTTTTAAAAGAGTGGTCTCTTATTTTTTCCAGAGGTGTACATAAGGTGTCATGCCTTGTTTTCTGCTCCCTGCTGTGCTCCTCACCTGCCAGGCTGATGGGTGTAGTTTTCCAGGCGGGACCGGACCTGGTCATAGGTGAGGAAAGCCATGAACCCAGGGTGGGTGACTGCCAAATGGTTCCAATTCCTTAGCAGGGATGACCATGGCTAAGAAGGAGAGAGATAGGCCAGCAGAAATGACAAAGGACCTTGCGGTTCAGTCCATGTGGCCAAAGGCAGCGACAGACCGCCAGGCTTGTGACCCAAATTTCATAGTAGCCGAACGATAATCCTGCTGCAGTACCTGGAAGAGCCTAGTGAAAATGTCAAATTCAAAGATGGAGACGTGGTCATTGCAGGTGATGTCCACCGTGGACCTTAGGGCCATGGCCTCCATGCCCTCCTCGAAAGCATGAACCTTGCGAAGCTGCTCCTTGAAACTGTTCCACTGTATGATACACCTGAGGATGAGAGAAATGAGCTTAATACAGGCTGCTGTAGCTCTTTTTTGATGATTTTTTACCAGCAATATCACATCATGCTATTAATATTATGTGTTGCCTACATAAAGATACACCTGAAGTGTAGTCGAGGGAAATGTTAAATTAACGGGCTAACTTCGTGGATTAAACGTTCTTTACAAGACACAGAAGTTGCTGTTAGGAGGTTGTCAATCTACGGCACTAACAAAGAGGGTGATAAACGCTTCATTAATGGAGTACAACAAATGTAGTCAGATTTGTCTTGTTCCCCTTACAAAGTCCCCAGCTGCGGGGGTTAATTTTCATTTCCTTTCTAATCACACATCGTTTATATGACCCTGCCTCCATCCATCTTCCACGCTTTCACAATTCCTTCTGTTTATTTTACCGATTCCGACCTCTCCACAGCGCTCACCTCTCTCCAAATGCTTTCCTCCAGAATTCCCCGGCTTCTGTTTTAGTCAGCCTGTATGTGTCCCCCTGAAAATGTCCCCTGGGAAACACTGCCTGCAGTTCATGCAGCATGTGGCTGAACAGCAGAGAAATCTTCGTCAGGCTTCTCCTGGGAAATTGAAGAAAGAAAACAGAAAGACAGAGTGTTGGCTGCCAGCTCAGTAAAGCAAATCTCCATGTCAATTACAAACAGAAAATAATATTCTGTGCTTATTTAATTGTTAAACTTCAAGACTGAAGATTCAGTTTATTCTTTATCTTAAATCTTGCTTTTTTCCTGATCAGAAATGTATAAAATGTACAGAATTACAGACACAAACTCATTTAAAAGCTGCCTGTAATATTCAGTTCAGTTTATTTTTGCATCGCGCCTTTCACATTCAGACACCCTGAGGCAGCTGACAATAATATGTGGCAATCCATGATTACGTTGTTTATACAAAATGGTGCCTGAAACAGGGAAAAGGGAAGAGGGAAAGAAGGAATTCCATAAGACAATGGAGGAGAGGAACAAAAACACCATGAATAAGCAGAAGAAAAACATCTGAGTCCGAAGTCAAATGAGTGTTGAACTTCCCCGGGTATGCTAATGTTACAGAAAACAATGAAGATAGGCCTGCTGTAATCAAAGCGAGGTATGAACTGTGCTCATAGTCAGAGGTAATCAGTGAGCCAGTTCTCTGAGCAGATAACATAAACAATGCACTGTTTTGTAGTTAAGCTTTCACACACAGGAAGTCTCTCTGAGCTTCCTGTCCTTAGGGTGTGCGCCTGAGCGACCAAATTTTCCGTTAGACACTGACCACTTAACACGAACACCAAGCAGCAGCCATTTCTCTGACATCAAACATGACGATGGCATGTGACTTTCTTGACTGATAAATCACTGAACAAATAAAGATAGAATTTCATAATATAATTTCATAATATATTGCATAAGTATCTTTTCAGATGATGATTCATGTAATTTTGTACTTGACTGCTAGATTAATTGACAGAATAAATTGATAAACCTTTAATATGCAGTGAATGCATACTTCATCCCTCCTTGACCTGCTTACTTTGGTCACAATCAATCTTTTATGTATGCAAGATCTGTTGATTTATGAATAAAAAAATACCCACTTGTGCCTTATATCTTGATGCACTCATCTATTTTGGGCAAAACTTTCCATGACTAAGTTCAGTGGCAGCCTTGTTCATGTCTTCATTTCCACAACAGATGACATTTCCTGCCCATCAAACACCCTATTTGTGGTCATATCAACATCTGCAGAAACCACCCCCTACTCCAGATTACCAGTGTGTATACATAAGAGTGCAAAGAAAATAAAACAGCTGTATGGAACCAGCCAAGTAAGGCAGCCAAATTACACTTTGCATTTTTGCAGTACCCAAACGAGTGCATTTTATGCCTTGGAGTGGTAACTGGTGCCTTGAAGCAGTGCTTCGCAGTGCTTCGCAGTGCTTCTGTGTTTCAGTTGTATTAGGAAGCTCTGTGAAATTAAAATGATAAGAGGGCGAGATATCAGTACAGGTTTCTGTAGTACTTATTTCAGAAATATGTGGATCTGTATGGACAGCAAATCAAAAGGGGAAGAAGGAATTTGCATGAGAGTGTTTGATTATTTGTGTGAAATATTTATCTGTGCTTCACTTTTGGTATCGAGGCCCCCCCAGAGGGCAGGTTGAGCAGTCATCCTTGCAACCATGTTATGCCAAAGGAAACCTGGGCCGAAGGTTTACAGTCCATCTACCCTGGCCTTTTGTTTGATAGAGACAGCTGATTATGAAACAGCACAAAAAGTGGGGGCTGAGGAGGGGTCAGATAAAAAATAAAGGAAGCTAAGGCTTTTTCACAGACCTGTAAATCCTGTTGACCAACATTTCCTCCCTAACCTACATTCCCCACTGTGATTACTGATGTGTGTCTGCATGCCCCGACTGTGCTTTAGAGATTTAAGAACTAGATGAGCTGTCATGAGTCACTTAAAGTAAGACATTCTGGGAGGGAGGGGCAGCTTGATACCATGTGCAGTAGAGATATCATGATACCATGCACTGTATACAAATCATGATATAGTGCACAACGGACACATCATGATACCATGCACTGTATACAAATCATGATACAGGGCACAATGGACACATCATGATACCATGCACTGTATGCAAATCATGATACAGGGCACAATGGACACATCATGATACCATAAACTGTATACAAATCATGATACAGTGCACAATGGACACATCGTGATACCATGCACTGTATACAAATCATGATATAAGGCACAACAGACACATCATGATACCATGCACTGTATACAAATCATGATACAAGGCACAACAGACACATCATGATACCATGCACTGTATACAAANAACAGACACATCATGATACCATGCACTGTATACAAATCATGATACAAGGCACAACAGACACATCATGATACCATGCACTGTATACAAATCATGATGCAGTGCAAAGCAGTCACATCATGATACCATGCACTGTATACAAATCATGATACAGTGCACAATTGACACATCATGATACCATCCACTGTATACAAATCATGATACAGTGCACTATGGGCACATCATGATACCATGCACTGTATACAAATCATGATACAGTGCACTATGGGCACATCATGATACCATGCTGTACATGCATCAACATACTATGCTGTACATGCATCATGATACCATGCGCCGTAGACACATCATGTTACTATGTGCTGTACATATACCAGGACATCATGCACTATACATGCATCATGATACTGTGTGCTGTAGAGGCATCATGATACCGTGAGCTGTACACGCATCATAATATCACATACTTTTGACACATCATGATACTATATGCTGTACATATACCAGGATATCATGCACTATACTCTGTACTCTGTACGTTGTACACTCATCATGATACAGTGCAGTGTGCACACATCATGATAGCATGTTCTGTGGATGCATCATCATACTCTGTGGAGTACACGTGTCATGATACCCTGCACTGTACACGCATCATGGTACTGTGTGCTGTACATGCATTATGATACCGTGCACTGAACACGCATCATGATACCATGGGCTGTAACCACATCATGATACCATGTGCTGTACACGCATCCATCAACATTACAAGTGAAAATTTGAAGTTATCCAGCATCTAGTTCAGTTTTTCAAAACAATTTACTACATTGTAGGGCTGTGAATCGATTAAAATTAAAATAAATGATTTTAATCACACCTAATATTGAAACTTATATGCATAAAAATTCATACACAGAACCTGCCAAAATTAATGTAGAATTAATACAAAGGGGAGTGTATGAGTCATGAACAATAACAATAACAATAATAACTGATACTTTACTGATTCCTGTGGGGAAATTTTCTTTATGCCTCCCCCAACTTGCTCTCTGTACGTGAGAGCAAGCTGGCCATGAAGGGCAGCCACCCATAGTAGTGCCTAGGGAGCTGGGCTTAATGGTCTTGCTCAAGGACCCACAGATGTGCTGAAGCCAAGCTTGATCAGGGGACCTTCTGATCAAAGGCACAGAGGCTTAGCCCACTGAGCTCTCAGTTTTATGTTACCATTTATTTGTGTAATAAACAAAAGCAAAATTATACATCTTCTCATATAAATTGATTGTTTATTGTGGGAAAGCTGAAAGTCGCACATGTGCTACACGATCACAAGTAAACCGTGAACTATTCAAGTATTCAACTATTCAGGAAATGGACTTTAGAAAATAACTTATGGTGAATCTGCACCCTTACCAGTTATAGAAAGTTAAGGCCTATCTCATGTGCTTGAATACATAATTACCTTAAATTGCCTGTGTTCCCGGCTGAGGAAACCAACATAGACCAGTATGACCAACAAAATGCATATGGTGTTTTGATGTCGGTCTTTAGTGAAATATTGCTGGTGGACTAGCTTCATTGGCAGGTAGAACAGCAGTTACACTGGTCCACCAGCACCCAACTGTAGCACTAACCAGCACAGAAAGGCATAGAAATCATGCTGATCTTATGCTAGTATTTTTCATCAGGCTTGGCAAAGCCCCTCACAGGTACTGGACAGACACATTTTTTTCTGTATTCGGCTTTCTATGCGTTGCTTTCATATGTGGCTATCAACTCTCCTGCATGTGCGACGCCCATCCATGGTTAACGAGGATCATGTAGTGACAGTACCTGTTAAAATCCATGCTCATATTATTCTCCCAGTTGTGTAAAAACATTACCCATGGATTAACACAATCAAAGAAATAATAGCGTTTTATGACTTTAGAATTAAAGCGACACGTTAATGCGATACATTTCCCAGCCATACTAGAGTTATAGTATTTACTTAATATGGTTGTTCACTTAATAACTCAAAGGGATAGATTTTAAAAAGTGTAAACATAATGCTAACTGGGAATGGTTTATCTGAACCCGAATATCCATATACCTCACAGTAATGAAGGCGCTTATTTGCATTTCAACATGATCCCAAATATTCAGAGTAAGCTTTGTGGGTTTCTCATCTGTTATTTTAGGTCTTACCATACAATTTATTACTACTTTAGGAAAATTAAGAAAATTACAGATAAATAGTAGGTATGTAAAACAAAAACTTCAAATTATTTAGTTACTGTTTGTTGACAAAATGTCACTTAATATTAGGACGCATAACATCGAATGAAGTTAACCATTACTACTGGTGCACAATTAATTTATCCAGGTCTGAAATGTATGGTTCCTTCCACCTGATTTTGCAGCTGGCTTTTAAAAACCGTCACATGCATTTTTTTTAGAATTACCTCATATAGTGATGATGATGGTGGCTAAACTGTGTAAAGCCGAAAATAACAAAATTACAGATGTCCACACTGAGCCACTACTACTGCACAGGAACCTAACAATGATGATAACAAATAAAAAACAAAAACCTCATGGCACATATCATGATAAATTCATACAGGAGGTTATGTTCTTATGTTCTTATATGAGTGTGTTGCTTTTCTGTTGGTCATAGTGGAGGCCACACAGCAGCCTCTGCAAAGTTAAAAATGCGGTTCAGTTGCTTTTCTCTGCAGATAGGTATATTTAGTACCAAACATGCTGACTGGGGACTTTTGTAACCTAATTTCCATCTCATTCCCGTCATTCTCACACCTCCGGCTCCCGTCATGTTCACGGTTGCTCATCCATGGTATTCAGGCTTTTTTCAGTGAAACAGCTTCCTTCGAACAGGGCATTTCCTGCGTGGATTACTTGGCTAGTAATGGTTTGTTCCTACTGTTTTGTTTCTGAGAATGTAATACTCTACAACAGTGCATTCAGTAAAGCATATCTAGTAAATTTTACAGATATTAGGGTCAGACACACAAAGCCATATAAGCTATACAATGAACAAATGAAATTCCCACATATCTAATACCCCATTTGAGTACTACTGCTCAGAATGTAAATATCTAATATTACTCCAGTGTTATGGACTGTAGAGAATATTCCAAACACCAAAAAAACAGTTTCATGTCCTTCACCTCCCAATTTCATCCCTCTAAGAATTTTATCAGAAGATGATAATGCATTAACGTCATCATACATATCTGTAAATTTAGAAATCACTTTTTATACAGTAGTATTCATTTTTGTTTGTAACAAAGGTAAAATGCGTCACAACTAAATACGGATTCGGATAGGAATTCGTCATAATAGTCCGTGAAACTTCAGATTGAGTTCAGATAAATTAATTGGCATTAATTTCCCAGATGTGTAAAACAAAATGTCAATTTATTCCCTTGATTTTCATAAAATAAGGGGAAAATATTTTGTATCACAAATGGAACTATAGTCGTCGAGATTCCATCATCAATACACTGAAAATATATACTTTGCGCTTAAATCCCAAATATGGCTGCAAATGATTTGAATTATGCAATGAATGTATTAAAAAATTTTATTGAGGCTGGGTTGCTGAGTTTTTATTGAGGCGCTGCGAGGTGAATTAATGGGCATAGTTGCATTTTGTGAGGATGGGGGTTCGAAATTGCTGGATTAGAATATTTTAACAGCATAAGGGAATTATCACTGCCATGGACGTCGCCGCCATTAAATCTGAGCGGGACGTGTCCCCCTCACATTTCATAATTATTTGTCTGGACCCCCCCCCCCCCCCAACATAAAATATTAGTTTTATGCCAGTGTGTCCCCCCTACATTCAAAATGCTTCAACCGCCCCTGATCACTGCAGATCTCATACTCAGCACTGGAGAGGTCCACATATTCAACAAAAGCCTGACCCCAGTGAGTCAAAGGCTGTGTCTCTACAGGGAAAAGTGGTCCACTGTTTCTTCCCCTTTAGTCACCTCCTCTCCTATTTTCCCTCTCATAGAGCGGGAGCGCTGGATCCAAAGCACTTTGCACAATGCCACTCGATCTTGTGCGACTCCCCTCCCTTGGAGAGTAAAAGCTCTGGCACAGCCTGGCCTGGCCCCGAACTTTGCTAAGTGATTTGTACAGATGGTTTGACAAAGACGCACACAACAGGGTAGCTGTGCGGTCCAGCTACAGATAATCATTAAATTAAATTAAGCATATCCGTAGCTATAACGTTTGTGGTCCTACAGGGTTGTTTACGTTCATTCTACCATTACAGACCTTACATGCTTAAAAAAATAACATTTTCCAGCAAACGTTCTTTATAAAAACAAGTATTACTGGATTATACCTTAAAGCAACTGATATTCAATGAACCCTCTCTCCTGCCCTTGAAGAGTAAAGAAGAGACTAGCAGAAGATACCAGTGCCTCTCACCTATAGCTGGAGTTCTCCTCAAAGATCTTCTCCTTGCCCTCTTTGAACAGGAGTATCGCTCTCTCTGTCTTGGTCAGCAGGTGCCTGATGTGGACCCTCAGGTATTCGGCCTCATCGCCACGAGGGACATAGCCACTCGTCTCACTTGTGGCTGGGCCTCGGTAGGGTGCCCAGACCCCCGAAAGCTGGTTTGCTGTCTGAGACACCAGGTCAGGCAGGAAGGGCGGACTGTTCTTCAGGGCTAGCCGTGGGTTGGTAGACAAAGTCTCCAGTTTTCCTAGCCTTTTCAGGGTTTTGTCCAACAGCCGGGAGTCTGCCGCAGTCAATGTAGTGGTGCTGGACCTGGCTAAGTCAGGCCTAGGGCTTTGGCCTATTCCCCACCAGCTGCGCGCTGCTGCCATGACTCACATGTGTATGTCGAAGCAATGACGGTGTATAGGCTGCAGACTTGCTAAGGCCAGCATGTAGGTGTCGCTCCTGGGTGCTTTGTCAGTCTTCATGTGAAGTCATGAAGTCCCAAGAGATCCATATCTAGCAGAAGACCCCCTGGTGTTCTAGAAGATTCTTCACTTCACAAGCCTGTTCCACATTTCCTCCTTCATGCCAATGTCTGCCTGCACATATCACGATGACAGCAGCACGGACGGAAGGACAAAAGCGGGATCCCAGTGAGCCACCAGCAGCTACTGGGTGGTAGCCGGTAAGCACTAGAAGATATTTTGTCCCTTGAAGAGCTGAGAGAAGGCTACAAATCAAGTTCTCTACTTTTTGCCATTAGAAAGAAAGCAGAAGTGCGTCTTTAGATAAAACAGTCCCTTAATCTTAATTTTCCGCCAGACAATGAGATAAAAGTCGGTTGGCTCAACTCTCTCCTCCGCCCTCACTCACTCTTTCACACTTGTCCGTTCCCATGACCCAGAGACGCCCCCTTCGCTTTTCATGCCTTCAGTTATGTTCAGACCTGCCCTTCAGATACAGATGTGATGATGTGCAGCTCTCAGAGGCCGGCTGGTTGGCTGGGTGGCGGAGTGGGGGGGGGGGTCAGTATCCTTAGCGTGTTATAGCCCAGGAAAGTGGTTGCGTCCCTGTCTCGCATGTTCCCGCGGAGCCCCCTTTGAGCTCTCAGCTGCTTTCCTGCGCGCACTGCATTTCCGGGTTGTGCTCTGATAAACCGGTTTGTCGTAACTCTCCCTAGAAGGCAGAGTCAGGTAGGTGTGGGGCTCCAGAGGTCAGAGAGAGAGAGACACAGAGAGAGAGAGAGAGAGAGAGAATACACCCCAGGATTACGTAAATAACTGGAAAGACACATTCATCAGAGAACTTAGGTTTACATATGTTTGGTCAATTTAATGACCACAAAGCAGACCAAGTTTCTGTAAATGTTTCTCAAAAATGTATACCTTAACACACTTCTTTACATGTTTCTGTAGCAAAATAGTCTTTAGTTTTATTATTATATCTTTTACAACATTTACATAAAAAAAATACAGATAAGTACTTTGTAATTTTAGAAGCTAAACAAGTTTACACATACTTTTGCTACCTGTAATACGCTTGATTTACTGACTTTAAAGTGATACACTGCCACCCTGTGGATGTAAAATGCATTTACTCTTTGTCAGATTTGTGTTTCAAAAGAGAATTACAAGTATTGGCCAATAAGTTGTTTCACAAAACGTATAAATATAATTTCATTGTCAATTAAAAAGAATGAAGGCTGCCAAATTTTAATAGAATAATGCGTACTTATTTTAAAATCGCATTAAGGCACAGTCTACTGTAGAGTCCTGCTTGGGGACAGTGTGTTTATCGAGTTTTCTGTACGACATTGTTCATACAATCCTGTCATGCTTTTTGAGCTTTGGAGGTTACTGTAGTTACTTCCATACATTTTGGAGTAGAAAAGGAGAAATATGGTGAGAATTTGAATGGTTGTTTTCAATTTTAAATATTGCCAGAAGGCTCAATTGATAGGTGTGTCGCAGATTGCACTCTTTGTGGTAGAGAATTTAAATATCACTGGAGCACAACATCTTTGTCCTACCATCTAAAAACGAGTCTTTCTGGTTTGGTGTTTGAGAAACACAGTAGCTGTACCCATCAGCTGTAATGTCCTGCCCATCGTGTCCACCTGACCCTCCTGTCTCCTCACTTATGTGGCCCTTATGAAACACGCCTATTGCTTGTTCCCCCTTGTTAGTCTTAGTATTTAATTACCTGTTTGTCTCATCAGCCAGTCCACTTATTGCCTGTGTACTTCCTGATACTCGTCTTCCTTTGTTTGCCAAATGCCTGCCTTCGAGTCCTTCATCTCTCAAGTCTTGACACCAGCCCACTGCTGATGAAAGTGCTGGTTATCGATCCATAACCGAAAGCCAGTGTAAAGCACTAACCAATGCAAGAACATAACTGAATAACTACTGACTGTCGGGCAATAAGCATTGCTGAAGCTGGAGCCTCAGAGTGCAATGGAATTAGTACAGGATTGTTTTTTTACTCAATTTGTTAACACCCCTACCAGGGGAGATGCCATTCTTGATCTTGTTTTCTCTAATAACCAGGACATGATTGGTAAACTAGACGTTTTAGAACCACTTGACAGTAGCGATCATAACATGGTTAAATTTGAGGTTAAGTTTAGTGCCCGAAGAGCAAAGTCCAAATCAAAAATATATAATGTTAGGAAGGCTAATTTCAATTGTATGAGACTAAAACTAGAAACTGTGAACTGGATGGAGTTAAATAACAAAACTGTTGAAGAGGCATGGGAACATTATTGCAAGTGCAAGAGGACTTCATACCTGTTTCCAGCAGGAATAAATTTAGGAAATTGCAACCTAGGTGGTTTACCAGGGAAATAAAGTATAAAGTAAGTAAA